GAGTCGATGCCCGACGACTGAAATTGAAGTGTTATCTGCCCAATCCACAAGAAAGGCGATCCCGCAATACGCGCCTATTAAGGATCGCACCCCTTCTTCGAGCATCGACGAGTAGTAGATAAACGACTGTTAGTCGATGATCGATTGAATGCTACGAGAAGATAATTCAAGGCCTTTTGGAGGAGTTCTAGTAAAGTACATATCTTCGTTAAGGAACATACTTTTTGAAGACATTTATTTAAGGTTTATATTTATCAAATTTTTTTTATCCCTACTTTAATGCACATTTATGGGTCGATTGCGGATGGAAACCGAACTTCAGTTGCGTTGGCAGTGGCCGGAATTATATTGCAGATGCCAGCTGACGACTGAAAGCTGCAACTGAATTGCTATAGGTTTGTTCGTCGAAAATCCAGCAAGAATTATCCAACACTCAAAATATCAGAGAGTAAGAAAAAATTTTCTCAAATTCTCTCTCATGTTGAGAAACTTGCAAATTTCTGCACGAACGCAAATTTGCAGGAATTTGCAAGTTTCCCTGCCAGCTGGCGTCCACGGTTGCATTTCAAACATAAACATTTTTTATAGAATTTTTATAATTCTTTCGGATGGCCAAAAACAGGATATACATGTATATTTCTTGTTGTTCTGACTTTCTTTAACATACATTTCAATTTCTTCATCGTACTAGCTGTCGGGTTTCTTAAATCGACTCTGGTTGCAATTGCATTCCGATTGCGAATACCATTTTTTTCAGCCGAATTAAGTTCAAATCATTGGAATTAACTAAATTAATTATATCAACAATTATTTACTTCCTTTTTTCATAAAAAAATCGCTCGTGTTTATAAATTTTTAAATTTAACGAACTAATTTATTCAAATTATTGTAGACAAAAATTGCAACCATGCGCCACAACCATATGTTTTTCGTGTTTGCAAATTCTTGCTGGCAAAATTTTTTCCAGCAAGAATTTGCAACATTTCTCCAAGAGAACTGTCACTTTGCTCTCACAATTTTTGAGTGTTGGATAATTTTTTGGTATGTACGAACGCGATTTGGGCAAAAATCGTGATAATTCGTACAAATTCGTACAAATTTTTTGCTCGACGAACAAACCTTATATTGGCAACTGCATTTTTGTGGTTCCCGCGGAAGTTTTGGTTGTGATAATTTATTTATTTTTCCAACTGTTTCCACGAGTTATCTACACTCAAATCTTGGTTGGCGTTGCCCTTCGGCAACCCAACTGAGGCTTTGTTTTTTTGCAATGATGCTGTTTCTGCAGTGGAAATCTGACAATCGCCACGCTAAATTTCCATCGTAAATATTCTCTAAATGAAAATAGGTGGGGCCTAAAAGCACGCAACATAAAAGTAACAGATGCAATGTGTAATCAACCAAAGCTGGTAGTATGAGGGGCATGTTACTAGGTGTTGCATGTTGTTAGGCGCGCCTGCTATTGTTTTGGAGATTTTTAGCGATCAAAATTGCCGATAGCGAATGCTCGTCACGTAAAAACACATTTGTCGGATTATGGCATACGTGAACGTACTCTTTGTCCCATTCAGCTTATACTGCCTGACATATCACATAACGGCTGCTGAACTAAAAAGTCAAATTTGCGCAATTTTTAAAGCTCCTAAAAGCATGCATCAAAAAAGTATGCTGCCTGGTGGAAGCAAATTGTTCATAGGTATCATCGAAATTTTAGGCCGATTTTTCAGCATACAAATACAATCCGGTAGGAGACATTAAATACGCTGTATCGTTGAGGGAATCCTTACTTGGTTTTAGCTTGTATTCCATATATGTATGTTGTATTCCTCGTGAACAGATATTTTGAATGCGTACACATATACCTACATACATCAATTTATTTAAAGTTGACAGTTATCAAAAAAACTAGACTGAAACAATACGATATTATTAATACAAAACATTTCAGGCTAACTTATCCGATTATCTATTTAATCATATCAGATAATATAAACCAATTTTTACTTTACAACTTTCATTTTCCACAGACCATCATTAAGGTAATGGAAGTTTTCCACTCCTACTCCCTTATTGACTTTTGAGCTGAAAAAATACCAGGCATTAATAAGAACAAAATACAAGGAGCTTTTAATTACATATCCTCTGTAGACAAAGTAGTAATGCCAATAGCAATTGCGTGCTCTTTACCCTCCGCCATTATAGCTACAACAGTTCCTTTATCGGCAGGCGTCATCTGTGCGCCAGGTGACGTGAGGCCAGGACACATTATATTCGCACCACTCAATACGAATCTTATTGCACCCTTATCTACTTGTTGCATAGTCACAAAGTATGGAAACTTGTGTAATAGTCGTAAAGTAGGCATCCATTGACTTTCACGGTGGCGGAAGAACGCTATTTCACCGTTCCCCGTAACTAAGAGCTCTATATGATCGTGGCTATAATATTTACAGCTAGAACTACACAATTCATTTTTATATCAATAATTTTTAATTACCATTTGGCGATGCGGTATGAATCCTTTTTCGGGAGTATTAAATCAATGTGTGTTTCCAGAAATGGATACGTTTCCAACAGTCTCGCACGGATGCCTTTCTGCACAGACGACTTCAGCTGCTGTAGAGAGGAAACGCTTTCCTTTTCTTCAAACCTATAATGCCGATTATTTTATTTTGTTAATTTCAATCAACGTCTTATTAAGGCCAAACTTACTTTTTAAACATTTTGGACGTATTTGTACGAAAAAATCGCAAAATACCTATTCGCAATTTTTATCGTAAAGCATGCAGCACAAAGCAGACAACAACAAAACAAAAGCGAATGTCAATAAAAGCGAAAAACTACCGGAAAAACAGGACGACCAAAATATTTTGACAATGCACTACCGGAAGTTGGTGTCGCTTCAGGGATAATTGTGGCATTTCTACACCACGCTAGTGATAGTTTGTATGAGCTCATTGTTATCGATTTGGTTATAGAACATGAGATGAATTTTCAATTTATCCTAAATTGTTTTTTATTAGCTTGATTTTGATTTTGTTTGGCAAACTGCCTGTAATTGTTCTTGCAGCGAGCTCAGAGAAACCGAGTTTGGCGACCCTCACAGCAAACTAATTTTGTTGGGCCAAACTGCTGTAAAAGCAGTGTTACCATACACAAAATGTTAGATAATTGTTGTACACAAGGTTCTCTGATACTGAAAGACAGAAATGAATTTATGCTGTAGGAGCTTCAAAGCACCTTCGAGCAAACTAAACAGCCGCCATTTAATTCGCCAAACAAAAGTTTGTCTGCATAACACCGACCTAAGATCTGTTTATTTTTATTTGAGAATTGCCAAAATCGGCAAAGCCAAAGTAGCTGTCCGCTTGCTTATGTTCTCCATAGCGTCAAATATTGAATCGTGTAAACTCTGCGAATTGGGAATTTTGTTTTCTTGTCGGGAGACTTCGAGTCTCGAACTAATGATGTATCGAAACTGCCATTTTAGATGTATCGATATCTTTTTAACATTTCTATTTGAATAAAATGTGGGAAAAATAGTACTTTATTTTGTGCATATTCTAACAACTCTTGAAGATTGGGCCTTTTGTTGTTAATAAATAATACAAAACAAAGCGTAACACGCTTTATGTAGCTTTGAAATGTCCCTCGAACATGGACTATACATTTGCCGAGCTAATGACGCGAGAACAGTTGCTAAATATTTTAGTGGAGGTAATGCAAACATTTTTATAAATAGATGAATATATGTAAATGTACTCTTCTATGATTATTTAGCGTCAACTAAACATACCCAACTTGAATGAAATGGCCAACGAAGAACTCGTCCGCATCTACAAATCGTTTGCTTTACCTCTGGCCCGCAGAGAAGTTAATCGCAGCACAAAAAATCGTCCGGAAGCCAATGACTCGCACAAGCAATCTAGCAACGAACAGAATCGCCAAAACTACCTTGAAAATACCGCCTTACCTATGGATGTGGATCAATCCGTTCATAATCAATTGTCATGTGAAAGATCCAGTGAAACCAGCTCTATGTTGTCTGGAAGGATTATGGCTTGTGAAAAGAGGTCGCGTGATTACAAACAGCTAAACCCTCTTACCGATGAGTTCTTGAGCATTGCGACAAAACGCATTAAAATAGCATGGACTTAGGTTTAGGTATATTGCCTAGATATTACAAAAATTACGGATGCGAATGAGAAACTTTTGCTGTTACTGTGCAAAAAGAAACTTTACCTCTTGGTCAGAGTCCTTCACACACATGCATATGGACATGCTTTATAAACATACTGTGTATGTCGCCTGAATATTTGAATTCATTGTTCATAACTTTGGTTATAGATATTAATCATTGTGGTAACTGCAATTGCTTTTGACCTTGTAGTTGTCATCTATAATATTAAAGGCACTGACAACGGAAAAAGAGTACCTACGATTGCGAATAATCGGCGAACACATTTTATGCCATTTGGAATAATAAGTTCATTTCTATAAAAGTCTTTACATATCACAAATGTAATGCTTGTACATTTATGTTTGTCTGCAAAGAGAAGTGCTAGGTACACGGTTTTAAAGATTTGATTGAAATTAAACAACATTGACTTTTTTTTAATTTACTTTTACTTTTTTTCCTAAAAACAAACAAGAATTTGAATAAAGAATTTAAAAAACCGACGTACAATATTACCATAATTATAAATCGTTCTATTAATTTGTTTTTAATTATTTCCGGGTCGCATTTTCCAGACATAATTGCAATTTCGTTTCCGGAATCATATATAAATATACATACATATATAACGTATTTGAGACTTAATTTATTAGCTTTTTATGTAGTTGCAAACCACATGCATAATCTTTCATAAAAATAGTTGTAAGATACTATCTATGAACGTATGTATGTATATAGTTAATTAAATAGTATAGGTTTAATACGTAATAAATTATTAGGAGATAACATAAAGGACTAAGGATTCGTTTAGCACATACATTTGACTGTATACCTACATAGGTATACATGTACGCTGGTACGTTTTACAATGTAAACATTATTATTTATACTTAATGCAATTCTTTCTAGAAAATAAATGTTTGACTTACCCACAAATAAATTTAAAAAGAAGTTGCTTCACTATGGTACTATTCTAATTGCAAATTTGCTCACATTTTAAACGGAATTAATTAAAAATCTAATCTGAAATTTAATGGATTTTTATTTAATCCTCATTTGTCTCGATTTGTAAGTATGTAGTAATAGAAATTTATCAACTCAGTTAATATTGTGGAATTTTCTTTTCTATGTACGTACATACATACAAATTTTGCAAGGAAAACGTAAAGAAGTTGCACAAGCGTGACGTCATACAAACAGCGATTCCGTGAAATTCACTGAGAGCGGAATAGCGGTACCCAGATGGGCCCCACCTTTGTTCACTACATCAGCAGAATGAGATCGAAACTTTCGGGAACGTTTTAATGCGAACAAAATGAAAACGAAAGTATCGAGAACGTTTTCAAGGAGGATAAAATAAGAACAAAAGTCTGGGGAGCGTTCTGCCAGAGAACAAAAGTTTTGAGAACTTAACGGTAAAAAGGAAAAGTGTTTCGACTATATGGTGCCTGGTGGAAAAAATAGTTAACCTGCAACGATTTCGCTGAAACTTGACATGTGCTTTAATTTTTCTTAGGAATTAGGAATTATGAAATTTGGTGAAGATGGGATAATTGCCACGCCCTCCAATTCTGTGTTTTACTTTCCCCTCTCTAAGTCCAACCTGTTTTTAAGTCAACTGTCACCACGAATTTTTTCTACCTGCCTCTATATTCGAAACACTGTGGGGTATCTGCGCGTTGCCATGAAAAATCGGATCTATGAGAACCATAACTGTTTATTTTAAGCCAGGCAAAAACGGGATCATTTCAACTTATAGATCGTTCATCATTAGGTTGAACTGTCCATTTATGGAACAGTTTTTCATTTTCTGTGCATGAAAAGTTCTTGTCTTAAGTCTTTCGTTGACTTAATTTGCATAAATATCTTTCAGTTCTTTTCTGAATAATTTTATTATTCAAACATTTCAAACTAATGGAACCTCGGAAAAGATTTGTTCCCATTTCGTTCTCTGTCAGAAAGCTCCTGAGACTTTAGCTCCTAAATGGTTCTTCGATAGAAGGTTCCTTAGACTTTTGTCCCCATTTGGTTCTTTTAGTCTCACTGCAGCATTTTACCCAACAACGCTTTGGGGAATTTTTATGCTTTTATAACAAGAACATTACCAATTTTACTATGGCAAATGCAATAATGCTCAAATGGAAAAAATAAGTTTATTTGTGTAGCGAATCTTGATATTCTCTGGTACTTAATAAATTAGTATTTACATATCGTTACAATAGAAATTGAAAACAAATATTACAGCGTTAGAAAAAATATTATGTTTAATAAAAACCAGCACTTTGAGAAAATTGTATTAGTTTGAAATAAGGCACATTTAAAAGAACAACAGTATAGGCGAAAAAAGAAATATTTAATTTCCTCGCTTATTTATGCATACGTATGTATGTATGTATGTTGAGTTACATCAAAGTTTTTGAAGTATATTTCATACTTTTACTTGCTCGTAGTTTTTAATTAAAAATTTATTGTGGAGAAAATCTGTCGAACAAACGTACATACATATTAACCTTAATTCACGAAGGCCCTAATCAACACATTTTTCGAAACTGGGTTTTTCGCAGATTTTGGTTGGATGTGTTAAAATACGGAGTTACATGCCACTTTTTAAAAAGCCCGAGCCCTGTTTACCTCGCTTTTATTAACTTGGTATGTAGCTATGTAATAATGATGTGCCTAAAAGATGCAGCGATTTCTATTCTGAAGTTACGTAGCGAGTTTTTAGTTTTTTAAACAATAATTTTATTAATACTGATTTTATAATGTTTATTGCTTCTTCTGTAAAATAAAAAAAAAATTAAAAAATTTTGGTTAGGGCCTTTGTGAATTAAGGTGACGTTATGTATGTAAAAAAATATTTGTATATTCACATTATATCCTTTATTCAAAGTCATTTAGTTTTATTAAACTATATATTTAAATATATCAGGTCGAAGGAAAATAGCGGCATTAAAATACAGCAAACTGATCGGCTCGGTGATCTCGACTCGGCAATTGCCTGAGACATAATTGTTAGCCAATTGTAAAAAAAAAAATAATAAACTTAGTACTCCCGGGTGCCAATTCCCGTTCTGCGTTATCGTGAAGTGAAGAGTAAAAAATTCACACCGAATTAAATGCGGTGCGAAAGTGTTATTTTTATCACTACACAATAACGCAGAACGAGCATTGACCCTTTGGTCGACTTAAGTCTGCCTGGATCTAAAGTCATTAACACGCGTGTGCACAAATTGGCTTGTAACAAATGGCAAATATAAGTCCTGGGAAAACGTACATCAAATAATGCATATCTCATGAGTTTAGCTATATTCAATCAAAAGTATTCTTAACACATACATATCTTACAAGTATGTATGTAGCATATTGTACTTGTAAATCCGATTTTATTATTATTAACTTCATTGAAAACATATAAGTAAAATATATAAAGATTTTTTTAATTTCTAAAATTTATACAAATTAAAAAAAAATCAACAAAGGGGTGCGTTATCCTAATGGCCTGCAGTTCATAAGTTAAAAAAAAATCAACATTATTTTACAGCCACTTGAAACTTGCACTGTTAGACTAAAATTCAATGGGCTACAAAACTACACATCCGAAATTTTTCTAAAAATATTACTCACTTATTCAGTGCTGGTTAATGTTGCCCCTTTGTTGTCATTTTTTTTTTTAATTTTAGAATCGGATTTACACGTATAATACGCTATATATAT